GTGTTTGCAGGGCTTCAGAGGGCTGCGAGGAGAAAGGGTGAGTTACTCAGGAATGTAGGAGGAAGCACAAACACTCACATCCTGATAAAGTCTCACAGAAGACTTTTCTTCCACCGCCGCAGGGCGAAGACGGAGAGGACGGGCTGAGCGGAGTGGACGGAGAACAGGTACTGACGTACAGATAGCAGATAGCACAGCTTCATCCTGATCGCCTTCATCGTCAGGTATCTCTGTGATCTGTAGCGTGAGATATCGCGATGCATAAACAGGAAGGATGATGACAGATAATGGGAAACCTGAGTCACACCAACGACCGAATCACCACATTTCTGCTTCCTTTGTTTATTTTCCCAATAAACTGGTAACTAAACATTACTGAATAATTATTTTAACATCAATGAAATATTTAATAAACCTTTGATAAATTATTATGTTGTGTCATAGCTGCTGGTGGCTCAGCGTCCTATGTTAACCCAAAGTAAAAGGTTCATATGAGCAAAATCACACCATCGTTTATGTGTTATCAACACCGCTACGTTTCCTTTAGTCTTTCATCCACTCAGCAAGATAAGTGCCAGACCCCGGGCTTTTAATTTGAAAGTTCCATTTCTGCTAACCATCACGCTGGTCGTCGATGCCAACGGCTGCCTCTGCAGAGACTCTGGTGTCCAGCTCAAATTCAAATGTTATTTGTCGCATGCACAGTCATACACAGTCCGATATGCAGTGAAATGCTGAACTGTTGGGCTGCAGCTGGTGTTGGTGGTCCAGGTCCGGCAGCACTGGGAGAGCTGGTTCCTGAGCTCAGGACTACCAGCTGCAGTCCATCCACAGAGACAGCTGCTGACTGCTCTCATATGTCAGCACTGAGTCAGGGTAGTTTCACTCTCCGCTCGGCTGCCATCACAAACATCATTTATCTGAGGCAGATCCCTCTTTTTCCAAAGTCTTCCTTTGTTCCCCGGCAGCTGCAAACATCCTGATAACGCTGCAGCGCAGATGAAGTCGGCGAGCTCTCACACAGACGTCACAGCTCTCTGAAACGGCCCTCGGCCATTCAAAGGTCAGAGGCAGTGAACACGGAGAGTACAACACCCGGCATGTCGGCGCGCTGCTTTTCCTGCCTCGACGGTCAACTTTCATTTTCATCATGCATCAAATGTTGATCATATTACTGCCACCATAAAAAATTATTAGTAAACAGCCCGAAGAGTCAGTGACAACCAGAGATGGGCAGTAACGCGTTACTGTAATCTGATTACTTTTTTCCAAGTAACGAGTAAAGTAAGGGATTACTATTGCAAAAACGGTAATTAGATTACCGTTACTTTCCCGTAGGAACGCTGCGTTACTGCGTTACTAAAACCGTGATTTTTTGGCGAGAATGTCTCATGACAGTGACGTAAGCGAGTGCGACGTTCGTGACAACAGCTGTGTGCAGATCAACAATGGATCACATATCGAGTGCAGAGAGAGTATGAGCGTGCAGCGTTTAAAGCGTGGAAGTACTGACCTTACTTTGAGTTTGATTCCATAAAAAGTGACAAAAACATGAGTGTCCGCTGTGCGTGGGAAGAAAACTTCTTTTTACAGCGAAAAAACCCCTAAACTTCCAACAAGCACCGAGTAGCTACGACGTAATGGGAAACTCACAGAGAAACTCGCGGATTCTTCCACTGACCGCGGCACACCTGCACCAGGGTAACCCTCCGCCTGCCCCACTCCTGCTTTACAGGTGAAAATAGAGCAACAGGACCGCTGAGTCTTTGACTTTATTTATTTTCTGCTGTGTTTTACTTGCATCTATTTGAAAGACTGAGTGTAAACACAAAAAATATTTTATTTTATGTGCTGGAATGTGCAGAAAATAGGTTTAAATGTTAAACTAATTTCTTCCAGTCAGAGAATGTTGCAGATAATTAAATGTTTGCTTGATGCATAAAGTTAAAAGATTAAAACTAATAAAACAAGTTTTAAAAAGAGACTTTTCCATTTGATTACATTTTGTATGATGGATTATGCAGAAAAAGTAGAATTGGGCTGAAAGATCTATCGCTTTATCACCTCTTCAGGTTGTAAATCGTGTTTTTAAAAAGTAACTAAGTAATCAGTAATTACTGATTACTTTTTTCAAGTAACTTGACCAACACTGGTGACAATGATCCAAAGGTTCAGATTTGACTCACTGATGGAGAGACGCCGATGAGTTTCTGTCCTCATCGTGGAGGAAACGAGCGGGCGTCTCAGGAAGGGAGCTGATTGGGGGGGTTTCCATGCTTAATGGCATTCCTGTGTTTCTGTGTCGGCAGGGAGTGACGGGACGGGATGGAGCCCGAGGAGAGAGAGGACACCTCGGCAACCCGGTAAAAGAAAACAAAAACTATATAATGTTATTTTAACATCGATACTTTATACTGCAATTTTCAAATGAATTCTGAATTTCACTGAGTCAGAGAAGGGAACCAAGAATGAGGCAGCGGTTTGGTTTGCACCGTTGGAGGTTGTTTGGACAAAAACACAGGCACATTTAAAAGTGACTCACAGGGATAAAGGTGGGAGAAAAAGTGTGAACTAAAAGGTATTTTACATGATTGGATGACAAATTTCAAATACTGCACACTTCAAATGTTTGTTCACGTAACGACCGACCTCCTTAAAGAAACCGTCAGAGCCGAACACGAGAACCTCGGGATCGAGCTGGAGGAAAGGAGAGAGCAGATAGCAGCTAGCCCGCGGCTATCACGTGTGATGCAAACAGACCCGGACTGAGCCCTGAGGGATGCCTTAGCACGAGGACGTACAGATGTTAGCATCAGTTCTGAAACATCTGTCAGTTTAAGATGAGAGGCTCCTGAGAGCAGCCAGATCAGTTAGTGAGAGTGTGACAATCAAAGGGGTCAAAGGTTGCTGAGCTACAACCGCCTGTATCATGTCGTTAGTGAGTTTCAGTAAAGCCGTCTCGGTGTCTTTAGGAATGAGGCTGTAATGATCCGTCTGTGAAGGTTCTCAGTCATCGTAGTCTAAGGAGCTTGGAAAGAAAAGCGTCTGGACTTCTTTAAGTTGCTTGAAGACGTTTCACCTCTCATCCGAGAAGCTTCTTCAGTTCTAAGGTCAAATGGTGGAGAGTCCCAGATATAAACCTAGTGGGAGTTTCCCCCCACAGAGGGACAAAAGGACCCCCTGATGATCCTCTAATCGCCTGAGCCAAGGTGTGAAACTGGGTGTGGGTCCCAATCAGCCAGAGTTTCGGGTGAGCTCATTGTGAAACCTGGCCCCACCTTATCATGCGAATTCCTGAGGTCAGATGGTCCAGGATGTGAGTGGGCGTTAAGGCGTCTGGGAAGGGATCTCAAAACTGGATTATAGATGGCAGACAGTTGGTGTCGTAAACCCCCGCCTCTGTTCAAAGATGGTCGCTCACAGTGGACATAGATGCTTCTTTCACTCCTCTTTCAAACCATCTGTCCTCTCTGTCCAAAATGTGAACATTGGCATCCTCAAAGAGTGACCTTTGACCTTTAGATGCAGATGGACTGCTGAGTCTTGTCCTGTGGAGGTGGCTCTTCTGTGTTGTGCCATGCGCTTGTGAAGTGGCTGTTTGGTCTCTCCGATGTAGAGGTCTGGGCATTCCTCGCTGCACTGTACAGCAGACACCACATTGTTAAGTCTGTGTTTTGGCGTTTTGTCTTTCGGGTGAACCAGTTTCTGTCTGAGCGTGTTGCTGGGTCTGAAATGCACCGGGATGTCATGCTTGGAGAAAACTCTCCTGAGTTTCTCTGATACCCCGGCTACATGGGGGATGACAGAGTCAGGCTTCAGGCTTAGATGGAACATGTTGTGTGGTGTTGGGTCCTAAGGCTGTAATGATCCGAAACAGTGGGATTTTCTTTTTAAAGTAGAGGAATGATGCTGGTGGTTGCTGACCTCTGGCCTTTGCTTATATTGACGGGCTGAACTGTTGTCCTTAGGGTATCCCAGGAATTACGGGGGAGACGGGGGTGAAAGGACAGCAAGGACTGAGAGGAGATCCGGTGAGTGTCAAACATTTCCTCGTCTTCTCTCGTCTCTCCTCCTCTCTGAACTGTTTTTGGCTTTTTCGTGTTTTCTCTCCTCCTTACATCAACATTTCTTCTTCTTTGATATCCTGTCCCATCTGGCAGCTTCTGCACTCTGAACTGTGATGTGGATGCACGGCGATGCCGAACACATTTTGCTTTTCCAAGACCAGATACATGTAGGCTCCTCTAGTTCATGTTTACTTATTCATTTCTGTTTGTGTTATTTCAGTTATGACTTATTATCTGTGCAATAGCACGGGCAGGCAGGGGTAGAATGAAAGGATGCACAGAGACAGCAGCCCCCCAAACCACCAAGAGAGCAGGCCAACGACCACATCAGAACATCCAGCCATGCACCCCGGGGCCAAGAAGCACCCTCACCCCAGGGAGGGGCAGAAGTGTCCCACAGGGGGAAGGGGCGTGGGTGTGGGGGGTGCACATTCTTCTTCTTTGCTGTATTTATTGAAGCAAAGCTTTGAGCTGTCGGGCCTTTTAATAGCAAACTGTGATGAAACCCAGACAGCCAGGATGTCCGTCACACACGAGCGTATTAATCTGTGCATGCAGAGCAGATGGTTAAAGTCATCGGCGTGATTGTGAAACACACAAACAAACAGATGAGACGCTCGCACGAGCATCTGTCTTCAGACAGGAAGCTGTGAGAGCTTCAGTCTGGATGTTTCTGCGCAGGAGGCATCGAAGCTGCACCAACCAAAAGCAGACAGTCTTAAACTGTGAGGTGGGAACATGAACGGTGTTCTGATGATCAAACGGGCATCCAGGTATATTATGTTTATCGCCTTGGAGGACAACTACAAGTGTTTGAGCACCACGAGGGTTTTTAATGTGGCACAAACAGGACTGAGGGCAGCGGATTCCTGCTCTGTAATCCTGCACTCTGGAGCGTCCTCGCTGACGCCGGCGCTGACGCGAGGCGAGCTGCGACCGAACCACACACTCAGAGTAACCGCAGCCCGTCTGCCGTCACACAAAGTTTTTAATAAATGTTTGCATGAAGCGCAGCTGGGCCACAGCTGGACGCTCACTGTTTAATCTGTGGCTTCATCTTTCTTCTGACAGGGACAACCGGGGGCCGACAACACCTCGCCCGGAGCCAAAGGCGACCCAGGAAACCCCGGCCTGCCGGTGAGACACGTCCCAGAGCAGACGCTGTGGTCGTCCTGCAGACGCAGCAGAAATGTGTCTCAGATAAATAAAAGTAGACGCCTCGTTTCTCTCTGTCTGTGTTTGAGGGCAAACCTGCTGACATCTGCTTGGAAACGACTTCATTTCTCTGATTTGCAGTACTGATGTGAAACCTCACAGTCTGAGCTCAGACTGCGAGGTTTCTTTAACAGATTCCTGCTGCGTATGCACGTCTGTCTAAAGAGCGTGTTGGTGTCATCGCTGTCTCAAATCCCTGCTCTGAAGTGTGATGTGTTCAAATCCACAGGGAGCACCCGGGCAGGACGGCCGGTTCGGAGAGTCCGGAATCGTCGGGAACCCGGTGAGCTTCTTCATTCTCAGCACGAGGAGCAGATCTTGTTATTCCAGGATTATTAAAGCAGCTACGATGAGATATACAATGCTGCGCTGTACTCTGGTGTAATACTACTGCTAACCACAGGCTGGGGCAGCGAGTCGAGCACGAGACGCTAACTAGCACTAGCTCAGCGTTCACACAGATCTCTGAAGTTAGCCGCCTGCTTCTGGCAGCCGGACGAGCTTCAGCTTAGCTGGAAGTCGTCTCTCACTCACTAAACCTTCTGAATGAACTTCCTGCCAGCTCGTCATGAACGCTGTTTTTAACCATCTGTTTTTTAACCAACGTTTGCTGAAAATATTCCAAATAAACGAGTGAAATCAGCCCTGCAGGCACCGAGGCAGCCTGCCTGGAAGTCTTAGATAGGCTTAACTCTGGGAAAGTCTTCCTCGCTCCATCCTCACACGCCCAGAAACAGCTTGACTGAGTGAAATCAGCAGCTGAGCAGCTCCAGAAAAGCATCCCATAATTCACTGGGGCAGAAATAGGAATGCCTGCATCACAGCCTGTCATGTGATCGTGTATAAATCAGTGATGCTGTAACACAGCGGTCCC